TAGGTGTGGGTTCTTTTGCATCTATGCTACTTAGAGTTCATTGAGTTTCTTCACTATGTAGATGAATGCATTTTATCAAATTCAGGAAGCTTTTTGGCTGTTATTTCTTCAAATAGTTATCTATTTTTTCCATTTTCTACTTTTCTACTCCTCTACTATTAAACATTGATTGGTACACTTGATGTTGTCCAAAGGCTCTGTTCATATGTATTCAAATTTTTTCTCCTTTTCAGAGTAGGTAATTTCTATTGACCCAGTTTTAAGTTCACTGATTTTTTTCCTCTGCTATCTCAAATCTGCTGATAAGTCACTCTAGAGAATTTTTCATTGTAGTTACTGTCTTTTCAACTCCAGAATTTCCCTGGGGTCCTATATTTTTTAAAATTCTGTTTACTCGATGTGAGTAATCAGGTGACAACCTGAACTTGAAACTGGCATCCGTTCTGAGACTGAACCCTAGCCTGTGATATCTGACGCTGTCTCCAGGTAGATCCTGTTAGAAGTGAGTTAAATTAAAAATGGATTCAGATAATGAAAAAAAAATCGATGTAGAAGATACATTATGAAATGAAATGGCTTCATGAATGTGAGGCTGCAAGAAAAGCAGCACTGTTACATTATTTCATATAAAACATGATCTTTAAATATGTCAGTGGGTAAACCATTTTAAAAAGGCATATAATTCTTTCATCCTTTTGGTCTTCTCATTGGAAATTAAGGACTCATCATATACACACATGATTACATGTTTGACAAACCACTTCACTTCTCCATAGAACACAGTTTGTTGGACTTTGGTATAAAGTATTTGTTTTAATTTTTTTTTAAAGGGATCATTAGGAACCATATTAAGCAAACATTTCCTTTTCATTTCTTTCTTTTTTTTTTCCTTTTCATTTCTAAGGTAGTTTTTCCCTTTTAGTTTTATGGCAACCATAGCTGGCTTTGAAAAACGTAAACATATAATCAGTCTTCTCGAAATAAATAACATTATCAACCAAATTTCTTTATAATAAAATATTACCAAGCAATCTTAGTTTGGATTATAACTAATAGTACAAATGAATTTAGGTAAATATCTGGAATTTGTTCTAACAAGACATGACATTTGTTTCTAATTGGCTAATAAGAGAAGACCAACACAATACCAAAACATGCAAATTAGATTCATCTGTGCCTAAAGTAAATCAAGTCTGAGTTCAAGGAAATGAGATCAGGCACTTAAAAATTAATATGTTTTCCATGGTTGAGTTAAATGAGAATTTGGGCCTGTCGAAGAATCATATAGAACTAGTATCCTCTCTTATTAGAGTAGTGATAAGAGGTCATGTACCATCAGCAGCAAATTTAAGAGATGACAGCAGCCCTAGAACACAAAGATATAATTCCCCAGGCCTCAGAGACCCTTAGCTGCCCTCCTCTGGAGTCCTGGGACTCAGTCTGCCTCCGGGTCCTTTGTGCAGCTATTCCTGGTCAATCTGGCTACAAAGAACTACATAACCCAGACTCTAACAGCCACATCTTCCTCCCCAGGCATTATCTCACCATTACACTCCTAGCCATCAAGTATTTGTGTAAATACTTGTAAAGGAAAGAAAAAAAAGATAAAAAAGAATGGGACTAGTACAGAATTAAGAGGTTTCCAAAGATCAGAGAAAATCTGATCCATTCCTGTTATTGTATTGTTTCTCTTGACTTTGGAATCTGAGGTTCTAGTCACTCTATTTCTTCGTAGATCTGGGGGAAAGATGCTCACCTCCCCTTCAAGGGAAATCAAGTGGTGGCTGCCTCTTGGACTCTTCCCCGGGTCCCCCTATAAGCAGGTTTTCTAAGTCTGCGATGAAAATTTCAATGCACACGCACACACAGTCCCACACATACACATACACACGCCCAGCCCAGAAACCATCTATTCCAATCCCTTCATTCACATGGGAGAAAACCGAGACACAGATCACCAGAGACCCATCTATGCAGCTTTGGCAGAATCATGACAAGACTCACGTCTCCCAATTCCCATACCAGAGTGCATTCCATTCCAACACGCCGATAAATCATTCTTTCAAGTGCTCCGTCTGAGTGACAACAGCTGCTTGCCGCAACAACCTTTTCTATTAAGGAACTCAAGTGGAATGAATTCAAGCCATGCAAGTTTCCCCTCTCAGAACCCCAACATCTGAGGAAGATGACAGAGTTCCAAAGAAGGGGAGCCAGCTGAGCTGGGTGATCAAGGCCTTTCGTGCCTCTTCGGCCCTCCTTTCTCTCCGAAGCTCCCCATATTAAGACTTATTTGTGTTCATTTCAAGAAGTAGAATGAGTGCTATCATCCCCAACCCATCTGATCTCCCAAACTAGGCTCTGTTGGCAAAGGGACTGCTGCTACCCATGCACAGAACTTGGCTTGACCTTTAAGCTGCAGAAAGTTGTTTGAAGGGTACAGATACTTCTTTGAGAGATACTTGTAAATAATTAAAACGAGTTTCTCCAGGGGAAAAAAAATCTTATCAAATTAATAAACACCAAAACTTGGCTAAGAAGTGTCTTTAATAATCAACCTCACAAGTCAATAAAAGAGTTACAAATACACAATTTACTATTACCTGACAGTTGTGAAACTGGTATTTTAAAGAAATGTTTAATGCTAACAGTTGCTTATTACTGGCTCTACAGGGAAACAGCTATAGATCTAAAAAGAACTAATCAATTATAAATAAAGATCTGGGGTAGGTATAGGTATGAGCAGGGAATGCCAAAGGGGTGCATGAAACAAAGGACTGGCTAGGCCATAAATAAGTAAAATCAAACTTAGGCATCCCACTGTCCTTGGATCCTTTCTTTCTCTTTTGAATAAGACCTGGGTTACGTATGCTGGCTAACAGTGAATGAATGTGTTTCACCTCCTCCTGGAACTCAGAATAAATTCTTGGAAAAAGGAATTCACACCATGACTTAAATCCCTTTTTCTATTTCTCATCCTCACCTCAAGAAACTAGAAAACTTCATGAATAGTCCATTGAGTTCGTTAAAACTAAAATGACTTCCACTCAAAAGCGTTAAAGGCCAGGGGTACTAGACAAGAAGAACAGTTTCTAATCTCTTTGGAGTACCACACTTTCATCTGCTAGATAAGAGTAACTTAAGCCACAAACAAGAATCAGACAACTAGATTTAGGGGCACCTGGGTAGCTCAGTTAAGCATCTGCCTTTAGCTCAGGTCATCATCTCAGGGTCCTGGGATTGAGCCGCATGGTGGGCTCTCTGCTCAGCAGGGAGCCTGCTTCTCCTTCTCCCTCTACCCCTCCTCCTGGCTCATGTGTATGCTTGCTCACTCTCTCTCTCTGAGTCTTCTCTAAAATAAATAAATAAAATCTTAAAAAAAAGAAAAGAAAACTGGATTCAAAGTTTTTTAAAATTTTATTTATTCATGAAAGACACACACAGAGAGAGGCAGAGACGGGCAGAGAGAGAGGCAGGCTCCATGCAGGGAGCCCGATAAGGGACTCGATCCTGGGACTCCAGGATCACACCCTGAGCCAAAGGCAGATGCTCAACCATTGAGTCACCCAGGCGTCCCTGGATTCAAATTTTTAAGGTAAAACTAACTAGTAAAAGTAAGTATGATGGACTAGGAAATGGTTAAGTGAGTCAGAGACAGGATTTAACTTTAAATCAGGAATATGACTTAAAAGATGAATCGTGGTTTATAACCCCACAATATAACCTATTCTTAGGTGTTCAGGTTAATAGGAAATGTACAAGCTCCAGAACAAAAGCTACCACCTTACCCCGTTTTAGGCACAGATCTAAACAGAGCTGAATGGGGATAAAATTCCCTCCACGTAAGAACTTAGGTACAAATGCTATTTACCAGAATAAAAGCATGTTAAACTGCTTGCTTCCTGAAAATGGAAAATAACAGCAACCATGTCCCTGTGAGGGTAAGAACTAAGGCACTCAGCTTTCTGGACTCTAGCCTGCGCCTAGGAAGAGGAGCTTCTGTGTAAGATCAACCTGAGAAATTTATACTAGTGCTTCTACCACTAGCTGGATGACCTTGGGAAAGGTACTTAAAAGTTAGGGTTTTAGTATCTTATTTATAAAATGTATAGAAATTATTTTACCTATCTCGTGGGGTCCTTATAAATATTAGATGAGATCATTTCTAAAGGGTACCTAAGCCAAGGCTCCTTACTGAGGGTGTTTTGTTGTTTCTCTCTGTCTAGTCCAGGCTGTTAACGCTGCAGCAGAAAAAGATGGAGTTAATCTTTTAAGGTTTTCTTGTTGGTTTTTTTTTAATCAAAGAACTGTCATGACAAAGAACCTGACAAAGTTACTTCTTATAAATTGAACGTTACACTTATTATGGACCTAAAGCTACTCATTGGATTGTACAATTACGAGCACAAAGTATTAAAAATATGTGTCTTTCTTTGTTGTTATATGGCAAAATTTTCTGTGTGCTCCTCTTTGGAAAGGGTATTCCCATCAGTTATAAACTGCTGCTCCACATGTGATAATTTAGATCAAGGTCATTACCAACCCAGATGACCAAACCTGAAAAATACTGTCCTCATGTCAGAGACCTTGAAGAAAGAATGCTCTAATGGGATTAAAATACCTTGCAAAGAATTACACCACGAACAGCTCAAGAAATCTTAATTTGTAAAAGGTCACAGAGTTACAAAAAACATCGCTCATTTCAGCTAATTAAATGAAATTTTAGTTAAACGGCACCTTTAAATATTGGTATTGCAGCTGCGAGTGCATTTAAATAGCATTTACACAGATATAATTAGCACAATTAAACATGGGTAGAAGTGGAAACACCATTCTTAATTATATTGATATAATCAGTTTTATTAATGCTTTATAGCAACAAAAGTGACATCTGACAGTAGCACACAATTCATGACTGAACCTAATATTAAGCCTTTTAGCATATTAAGGAATCTAAAGCTACGTAATTGGGGAAAGAAAGAAGTCAAAAAATGCGTGCCTACCTGTGACGATCCCATAGTTGGGAGGTTCGAGAATTACTCCATAAAACTGGATGATGTTTCTGTGACTGAGGACACTGAGTATTTCTGCCTGTACGAAAATCAAATACAGAGTTACATAAAATTTCATGTTTATGAAAGTCTCCTAAAATAGGCTTCCCATTCAATTTCCTTTTACATACATTTGCAAAGATACATGTGTGCTCAACAAGTACGTGATGCTGATGGAATGCTATCCTTAGCAGCATTCTGGAAAGTTTAAGAATTTCTATTGAAGCCTTCTGACCATTTACAAAGGAAATGGGGTTGAAGTGGCTGCAAGAGAGGGTGCTTCATGGCAAGCCAGCACGACAGGTAGAGGAGGAGGGTGACGACGTGGGGAGAGGCCATATGTGTTTATAGAAGAGCCTTCTTCCTAAGAGTTGAATATGTTTTTTTTCCATATCCTACTCCTTGTAGGAGACTCAAGACTGGATGGACTTCTATTGGTTGGATGAATAGTCGTGACAAAATCAACAGATGATTTAACTCTTACTGAAATAGGTTCAGGTCATACTCATTTATATGATTTATCTAATCATTCAAAATATATTCTTGCTCTTGTACTGTATGCAGCAAGGTACTGGGAAGGCTGTAAGTAGATTCCTGACCTTCAGTAGTGATTTGGGAAGTAGAAAGCCATACTTTACATGTGAAATGTATTAAATACCAGAAAACTGTACTGCAGAGTGACATCATAAAAAATATTTATTAAACTTAGTTTTTTAAATGAAAAAACAGGGATACCACAGTGTCTATCTGCTAATGTCTACAAAAGGACATTTTCTAAATTAACTAGATCACATGTACTTATTACTTTTGTGGAGCTAAAACATGGCTTACCAGGAATCATAAATACAGTTAGTTACAAAATCACTTAGGTACAAAAAAACATTTAATATTTTTAAATGAAAAGCATGTTATTGTCAGTATGCAAATAGGAGATTTATAATTCCCCATTCCAGAAAGGGTATTCATCAAGATGGTAAGTAATTAAAGAAAAATAAACAAGACCTGGGGAGAAAGGGGACTCCTCTTTGGGAACCAGCACAACGTAAATTAGTATTATTTGTTACAAATTTTTTGTCACAGGATAAGAATTGAGATTTCATGAAAACCATTGTTTTTAAGGTGGTTATGGCTAGGGACAAATGGAAGCGTAAGGGTTCGCATAGGGTCAATATGGAATCAAGAGAAAGGAAAATTGTCATCAACTGGATGAGACATTTATCAAGGTTTCTTTGACAGTGTTTTTCTTTTACTAATACAACTGTTGAAGGAGGCTATCAAAACACTTCTCTCACACTCACTGAGTGCCTACTGTGTGCAGAGGTTCTATGCTCATCAAATGAACTTCTCATAGTTTTCCAAGTAGAAAGAAAATGCATTAACTAAGCAAGACAATTATTCATCCATGTGGCAATTCTATTAGAAACAATAAATGAGGGTGCCTGGGTGGCTCAGTCAGTTAAGCATCTGCCTTTGGCTCAGGTCATGATCCTGAGGTCCTAGGACTGAGCCCCAACTTGGACTCCCTGCTCAGCAGGAAGTCTGCTTCTCCCTCTCCCTCACCCCTCTCCCATGCTTGCTTTCTTTCTCTCTCTCAAATAAATGAAAAAAATCTTTTAAAAAAAGTTCATGCGAGGTTTGGAAAACCTAAGTACCCCCTATTTTTAAAGCAGATGAACTCTTTCTGAGTAAAGCATTAGAATTTATTGCAAGTAAAGCATTAGGGTTTGAACCAATATTTGTCAAAATAAGGGAGTGTTATCCTTTGGTATGTTTGGGTATATTCTTTGGGGTATCTAAATTCTGTGAACATTAAAAATGTTTGTATCAAGGGGTGCCTGGCTGGCTCACTCAGTAGAGCATGTAACTCAATCTCAGCATTGTAAATTTGAGCTCCATGTTGGGTGCAGAGATTACTTAATAAAAATAAAATCTTAAAAAAATATTTGTATCAAGAAAGAATAAATACAAGAATATTCTAAGGGATGCCTGGCTGGCTCAGCCAGTAAGTAGAGTTTTCAACTCTTGATCCCATGTTGGGCACAGAACTTAAAAAAAAAAAAAAAGGAATATTCTAAATCTTTGGATGACCATTTTATAATTCAGCACCACAGGGGATTTTCAATGTTCCAGCTAATTTTCATGTTTACATTTAAGATATTGCCAAGTGATGCCTTGAAGAGACAGAATTTATCTTTCAAGTGCTGGTAAACATTTGCTGATGTTAAAATAACAACCATTATTTTATGTCCCACTGTTATGCTCATTTAAAAATTTTTTACCGTTAGGAAAAACTAAATTCTTGAGATATAATTTGTAAGTAAAAGACATTTTCACAGAGTAAGTAAAACTTTAGGTTCTAATTTAACAAACTAAGAATTTTATTTAACATCACAAAAACAACATACTACTTTAGAGTGCTGCACTAGTTCCATGGAAATGATGGTATAATAAGCAGAGATAGACTAAATAAATAAGTGGCATTTGCAATAAAGGAAGATCAAGTGATATCATGATGTCACCAATTCAAGCTGGCTCCAACAGAAATAACTGTGGGATTAACCAAATGACTAAAGTCTGTGCTGTAGCAGTCAGTATCTGACAGCAGGTGGATGTCTTCTGTAGGTTTGCCCTTATAGACACTGACTTGTCAACAGTTCATTAATGCAACAGTTGTAGTAACAGAAAGCTTTTCTTTAAATTGTTGTTTTCCAGATTTATTATTTTGGAATACTCTAGCAAATAGACTGCCCATCAAAATAACAGATTAGTGGTCTAAAAAAGTTCACTGTTATAAAGAACCATAATAACAATATTTTTTTAAAGATGTTATTTATTTATTCATGATAGACAGAGAGAGAGAGAGAGAGAGAGAGAGAGAGAGAGAGAGAGAGAGGCAGAGACACAGGCAGAGGGAGAAGCAGGCTCCATGCAGGGAGCCTGATGTGGGACTCGATCCTGGGAGTCCAGGATCACACCCTGGGCCAAAGGCAGGCGTGCTGAACCGCTGAGCCACCCAGGGATCCCTAAAGAACCATAATAATGATAAAGGCTAAATATAATGGTCCATGGTGACAAAAAAATTTCTTTTTACATTATTAATGTCAACAAAAGCCATTTATTTTCAGTAAATGTAATTTGATGAAAATTGTTCATTTTGTTATACTGACTTTATAGCTTTATTTTTACTTAATTGAAAAATTGGTTTTGATTTTTACAAGAGCTATAAACATGAAGAGTTCTGGGGTGCTTGGCTGGCTCTGTCAGTAGAGCATGCGACTCTTGATCTTGGGGTTGTGAGTCTGCACCCCATGTTGGGTATAGAGATTACTTAAAAATAAAATCTTAAAAAAAAGCAGTAGTTCTTAGTTTTATATTGTGTATACCTAAGTTATACTGAAATAATTTTGATCAACATAGGAAATGCAGATGACTTAATATTCTACATAAAAAATCTATATATTTCTCAGATAAGTGTGTGCCAGTGTTTACTGCAGCATTATTCACAATAAACAAAAGGCAGAAGCAACCAAGTGTTATCAACTAATGGACAAATCAACAAAATGTGATATATAAATACAATAGAATATTAATTTAGCTACAAAAAGGGATTAAGTTCTGATACATGTTACAACACAGATGAACCTTGAAAACATTATGCTAAGTGAATAAGCCAGACACAAAATGACAAATTTTGTATGACCCTTCTTTTATGACATATCTTGAATTGGCAAATTCAGAAATAAAGAAAACAGACTAAAGGTTACACCAGTACTGGGGGAGGAGGGAATTGGGGAGATGCTGCTTAATGTGTAAAGTTTCTGTTGGTGTGATGAAAAAAATTTGGAAATAGATTGTAGTGATGGCTGTACAACACTGTGAATGCAATTAATGCCACCCAAGTATACACTTAAATATGGTTAAAATGGCAAATTTCATTCTATATATATTTTACCACAATAAACAATGTTTAAAAAAATCCAGTCAGAATGGCTAAAATTAAAAAGTCAGGAGACGACAGATGTTGGCAAGGATGCAGAGAAAGGGGAACCCTCTTACACTGCGGTAGGAAGGCAAGCTGGTGCAGCCACTCTGGAAAACAGTATGGAGGAGGTTCCTCAAAAGGATGAAAATAAAGCTAGCCTATGACCCAGCAACCGCACTACTTAGGGATTTACCCCAAAGATACAAATGTAGTGATCTGAAGAGGTACCTGCACCACAATGTTTCTAGCAACGATGTCCACAATACCAAACTATGGAAAGAGCCTGGATGTCCGTCAACAGATGAATAGATAAAGATGTAGTATATATACACAATGGAATACTACTCAGCCATTAAAAGAAAAAAAAGGAAAAGAAATCTTGCCATTTACAACAACGTGGATGGCACTAGAGGGTATTATGTTAAGTGAAATAAGTCAATCAGAGAAAGACAATTATAGATTTCACTCATGTAGAATTTAAGAAACAAAACAGGAGCATAGGGGAAGGGAGGGAAAAATAAAACAAGACGAAATCAGGGAAGGAGACAAACCAGAAGAGACTTAACCATAGGAAACAAACTGAGGGTTGCTGGAGGGGAGAAGGGTGACAGATGGGTAACTGGGTGATGAGCATTAAAGAGGGCACGTAATGAAATGAGCACTGGGTGTTATATGCAACTGACGAAGCACTGAACTCTACCTCTAAAACTAATAATACACTATATGTTAATTAATTGAATTTAAATAAAATTAAATTTAATAAATAAAATAGGAGAGCTCTTAAAAAATTCTATTCAACTGTTGTATATATTTATATATATGTATGTGTACATGTGCATACATACACACATGACAGTCATCTCAAAGTTACAGAACTCAAGGTCTAAATATCCTTGGGTAAATAAGTAGTTTTCGAGATTAGGATTTAAGGAAGTAAGGGAAGTCTGTGACAGACTACAAGAGTTTTAACTCAGCTCAAAGACTCTCCTTAAGGGTCCCAATCTGATATAGAAAAGAGGTAACCACAGTCTATCCATAAAAATGACCTCATCACAGTA